AAAGTTTGAGGACCATGTGTTTTTTTGCAACTATGATGAATCAGAATTTGAAAATCAAATCCCACCTTTTTATTATGATATTATCCGGGTATGGTCATCTCTGACATCATACACCCCAAAAACAACATCTGAAATTGATAAACACATATTATGGAACAATAGATTTTTAAAAATTGGTTACCGTACAGTCTATCTGAAAAGTTTGGCAAGAAAAAAATAATTAAGAATAATAGACCTAAGCGATTTCTATGGAAACTTTCATGACTGGCAATATTGGAAGGGAAAAGTTATCACTTTGACAGAATACCACACTATACAAGGCCTAATCTCTGCAATACCAGATGACTGGAGAGAGAACATTCATGCTAATACCCATGAGTGGTGTGATTTTCAAAACAAAGTCAAATGGAATTCTAAGTACGTTGCAATTAATACACTGACGAGCAAAACGGTGTATAAATTTTTGTGTGAAAACACTATTGAAGAGCCAAATATTGCCATAGACTTCCAACACTTGTATGGGATGAAAGAAAATGTAATTTTCAAACTACCTTTCAAGAGAACAATCTTCACAGATCTTAGAGCATTCCAATACAAAATTTTAACAACTAATGTAAAACTGTATAAATGGAAAATAATCAATTTCCCCCACTGTTGTGAAAAAGAAGAAGAAACATTAGAACACCTATTTGTTAACTGTATTGTTGTAAAGAGACTGTGGAGACTGTTGCAAAGTGATTGCACACTTATTGCCAATTTTGTTTGTATGTGAACCGGAAATATATTATTAAATCATTTTATTTTATTATTTAAAAAATATGTATATACCTGTAGGGTTCAAAAGGTTCATCCAACAAAATACGCATATAAAAGTTGGATCAGGGAAAATAGAAATATTGAATTACAAATCGCAATAAACAAAAACAAAGAGCTTATCCATTATCTGAAATGGGAACCATTAACTAATTGGCTAGATAATGGGCAAATTTGGATGTTATACCAGATCCCAATGGGTGACGGACCAGCCGTTTTTGTCTCTGGAACGGGCCCCAGATAGTTTTGTTTGTAAATCACTGGAATGCCAAGCTCCCGACGTACGTGTCACTCCTCCAAGAAACGAGCGCTTTCATCATGTACGCTCTATTGATCTCTTGGAGTCGCAGGGACTCTTATGCCATTTCTTCTTCCAACTGGGCCCCAAGTGTTGGAGAAGTTGTGACTCAAGCCCACCTGTCTTCTGAATTTGTTGGCACTCAATTAGCCTGTGAAGGTCTGGCTCCCAATGTTGCTGAAACTTCTAGTCGAGTCTCCCGTGGGGTTGCCGGATCTTCTGGATCTGTTGTCCCAGCCGGACGGCACTTTACCAATGAGCCCCGCGCTATTCCATATTTCAATAAACTCATGCAAGCACTACGCTTTTCAGCAGATTTGTCTAAGTTCCTTGCTTTGGCACAGTCAGACAGCACCAGATGTTTGTACAAATCCAGATGTAGACAGTACATTGATTGGTGTGACAGAATAGAGGTTGATCATCTCAGTCCCTCTATTAGCGAGGTAGCCAATTGTTTCCTATATCTTTGATCAAGAAAAATCTTTATCGACAATTCTTTGATATCAGTCAGTTTTATTCCCAGTTTGATTGAATCTGCTGGACTGAAACTAGTTTTGAGTTCTGTTATGTTACAACTGTTTTAGTCTTTCCACTCGAAGAGGCCATGCACCAAGGGACTAGCTAATCCTCCTGACTGGGACTTGTAGTTGGTCTAACAGCGTTACGACACCCCCTTCGAGCCTTTGGATAGGGCAGACGCTAGGTTGTCTCTATGTACAATTTTCTTTTGGGCTCTAGCGCCAGGTAGGCGGCACTCAGAGTTAGGGGCACTGTTCTTTAGTGGGGGATGTGCCTCCTTTATGAACTCACTAGTTATTTTGAAGACTCAGCTGGGCTTTCTTGCCAGGAATCCCAGGGTATGACCCTGAGCCGACCGTCATCCCATGCCGCAGTTACATAGTGAGCAAGGAGGACTGTCTCGAATGGATTCTATACTTGGTCCGAGCTCTGAGCTGTTACTGCGACCAAACCAAGGTGACTAGGGACAGGGAGAAGTGCATGTGTGTCTGTTATGTTTGTCTCGTTAGGCTTAACTACAGATTACAGCTCTGATCGGAAACTATTAGGGAATATACCCTGTTCACAAAGAACACCTTCGGGTAGCATTCCCTATAGAAAAAAGGCCTCTCCTAAAGGGTCACCCCTGATCCGATATTGGAAGCTTGTGGGGAGGTGGGCGTTTTTTTTTTTTACACAGGCTTTCTGGTAGGTACATGTATGATTAGGTAAACAAACAGGTTTGTACAACCTTAATATTTTAAGCCTCACTTTTTTCTCAAGAACTGTCTGACAGATTGCAATGAAATTTGATACATAGATGGTCTGGAACAATGCAAATGCCTGTTTAGTTTTTGGTTTAAATCTTTACACGTTAATTACCCAATTCGCATAATAATTAGATCTAATTAATTTGGGGTTGAAATCTATGCATAATAATTGATTAATTTGCATAATAAATACTCATGTTCATCAAACAAATTATTGCATTTCAATAAGACTTGGTATACAAGTGACTTGGAACAATGCATTAGTTTTGGATTGAAATTCAAATATACTAATTGTCGAATTTGCACAATGTGCAATGCTTTTGTTGAAAACATGGATATTGATTATCTAATTATTGTTAGACAATTTCTGATATCTCAACAAATTTATTTACTGTGAATATTTTTATACTTCAGTAATGTAGATCACATTGGTTTCATGTTGTACATCTCAAATAGCAGACAAATTAGTTGCCAAGCTTTTTGTTTGGAAGGCCAATTAATTTTTAATATGTCTCCAATACTTTCAGCGCATGGGAGTTATTTCTAAGCTTTCTTTGATTGGTCTTGAGATGGCTACCATTTGGCCATCATCGAACCATGAAACAAAAGCATCTACTTATATGCATATTATC